TTTCCAGCTTGAAGGCAACAAACAGCATCAACAACAATCTCTACAGAAACAGATCATCTGCTCTTTCTCCCTTAGAATTATTGTGTGAGTTAAAATTGCCAATCTGTCAATTAGCTGTTGGACACTTAACTGTTTCACTGCCAGGACTCCTTAGGAGCAATGTAAATATCCAATAGTAGAAATAGGAGAAATTTCAATATACAGTGCTAGAAACTGTTACATAAATTTTAGAGGATTCTTACCTTAAACCATTACTTTTTTTATTAGTTTATATGCAATAACTTGTTTACATTGTATTTCATTCATGTACGTTGTGTTTTCGATAATCTTTCAGCAACATTGTGTTTTATATACTCATTCTCTCACGCCTACTCATTGGAGTAGTTCTTGGAGGTAGGTATTATTTTTCTTTTATAGAGGAGGATGTTGAGGTTTAGGAAGATTACTCTAAAAGCACAAATTTAATAAGGGGATTCTAACCCAAGTCATGATGCTTCTCAAGTTCAAACTCAACCATGGGAAAATAAAAGCATTTTTTTAAAAGCCTTTGAAACACAAACATTACTTATTAAAGTTTAGAGGTTGGATTTGTTTTTCATATTTCTCATTCCTTTCAACTTTCCAGATTGTGTGTGATAACTGCATAATTCAAATACTAGACTCTAAAGTAAAATTGGATCATACTCTTAAATCACTGCGACAGTCTAATGTGACTAAACAAAGGTCACAATATGGCTTGAGAAAAAGTTGTGAAAAGCCTCATACACCTACCACGAAGGAGCATGTCCTCTATACTGAAAGCTGGCTGGAGCTGCCAGGGTGTTAGCGTGACTGTGGGGGTGATAGAGTGAATTACTCAGACCCGTATTTTGATAAGATTGTTTACCTTAATAATAATCAGCGTTTGAAACCTTGGCCTTTAAAAGCTTACGGCATAGTATCCCTTGAAAACAGCTAGCAGTTCATCAAAAGCAGTAGGTACCAACAGTTACTTGCTTTTATCTTCAAAAGCCTCATATTTACCTTTTTATAAAGTGAATATTCAGTCTGGAAAACACTGTAAAGAGTGAGAGGTGGGGGAAGGTCAGTATTGTGAATTGTTACTAACAAGTTCGCTTTGTGTGTCAAGTTCCATTGGGGAAATCTGCCTCTATGGATCTAAAGTGCTAAAGAGCAAGGATGTCACTTGGAAGACCAAGATACACCTGAGCCAAGACATGGTGTTTTTCAGTTGCTTCTTATGTATATGAAATGTGGACAATAAGTAAGGAAGATTGAAGAAGAATTGTACTTGTGAAGCAACTAAATCTATCGTGGAGGAAGTACAGCCAGAGTGCTCCTTAGAGGAAAGAACATGCTTTGGGCGTGTTGCCATGAGGGGAGGGTCAGCCGAATAGGAAGATACCTTCAATGAGATAGATTGATATAATGTCTGTGACAGCGGGCACCCTTTTGAGGAGGGTCTTGTTTTGCTGTACGTAAGATACAGTTGACTCGATGGCATGTAATGACTATTCTCTTCCTCCACACCACCTTTCACCCGTACTTCCTAATTGTGTTTTTGTGTGGTGGTGTTAGGGGCCAGCAAGTTGAGTACAACTCATAGCAATCTTCTGAACAATGGATCTGAACCCTGTCCTATCCTGTGCTGTCCTCACAATCTCCGACACACTCAAGCTCATTGTTGCAGTCACTGTCAATCCACCTGGTTGAGGGTTTTCCTCTTCTTCGTGTCCCTCCACCTTTCCAAGCATTATATTCCCCTTTAAGGACTAACTTCTCTGAGCAACATGCCCAGAGTATGGGAGATGAAATTTCCTCATCTTCGCCTCCTAGAAGCACTCTTACTGCACCATCTCCAAGAGATATCTCTTTCTTCTTTGGTCATTATAGGATACTCAACACTCTTCTCCAACCCCACTGTTCAACGACATTAATTCTTCTCAGTCATTGCCCAGCTCTCCTATGCATAGCAAGTGGCTAAAAAATACCATGGCCTGATTCCAGTGAAACTTAGTCCTCAAACTGACATCATTGCTCCTCAATAATTTGGAGTAGTCCCTGAATATATAAACCTTCCCAATGCAATATGTCTCCTGATTGCTGGTACCAAGTATATTGTAAATCCAAGTAAGATGAAGTTGTTGACACTCTCAGATCTTTTCTCCATCTATCATGTTGTTGCCTATTGGTCCAAGGGCAAGGATTTTTATTTTCTTGACATTGAGATGCAATCCATATTGAAGGCTACAGTTCTTGACCTTCTGCAGCAAAAGATTCAAGTCCTCCTTACTTTCAGCAAGCGAGGTTATGTTGTCTGCATAATGCAAGTTGTTGATGAGTCTTCCTCTAATCCTGATGCCACATTCTTCTTCATCGAGTGCAGTTTCTCGAATAAATTGCTTAGCATTCAGATTGAGAGAATGGAGAAAGGATACAACCCTGACATACACCTTAATTTTAAACTGTGTACAGTTCCTTGGCTCTGTTTGCACAACAATCTGGTTCAGGTATTGGTTTTGCATGAGCACAATTAAGTATTCTGAAAGTCCCATTCTTCTCAATGTTAGCCATAATTTATCATGATCCATGTAGTCAAATGCCCTTGTATAGTTAATAAAGCACAAATAGACATTCTTGTGGTATTCTTTGCTTTCATCCAGGATCCATCAGATATTAGCATGATATCTTTGGTACCACAGCCTCTTCTTTCTTGTATGTAACCTGATATGTTTTCTTTGTATATAACCTCTTATGATAATCGAGCTATCTGAGAGAAAGCCATACATTTAAAAGAGAGTTGCAAAAATGGATAAATAATTCCTCTTCTCCTGATAATCATTTTGGAAAAGAAGTTTTGCTTATGTTAACACATCATGGATTTGCATACGTTTAAATGAATGCATAATTTTAAGATTTCTCAGTTGTAATTTCTAGTATGGTAAATGGCAAAAGAGGTAGGTGGCTTGTATAAATCAAACTTCTTTGGAGGTCTCAATGTTCTTTTTTAAATTTACACTATTTACAAAAGTCAGATCCATTGTTTTAGAGAAGAGATTCAATTTCCCTCACCCCCCTCAATAATGTTTAAGAGTGTGAAGGTTCCCAAGATAAAAATAATCTGAGAATCACTGGTAGGATTTATCCTAGATTATGAGGTTACCATGAATAAGAATCTACTTAACAGCAACCTATAAGAATAAGCATATATTCATATAACAATGCACATTTCGATGGCTAGGATTAATGATAGAAGAGAGAGAAACTAGGGAGTAGATGTGTTCAAGCAACAAGATAGAGACAGTTCTGGAAAGGAAGATAGTAAGTGAATAGGTTGACTTCTCCAAAATCATTGGAAGTTATTGGCCAAGAATAACTATTTTAGATTTACTGTCTTTGTACAAACAAACAAACAAACAAACCCAACAGAGAAGCATTTCTCTGTGATGAACTGTGATGTTGGTGAAGCATATGGGATATACCAGGGACTGTCAGAAGAACTAATAAATCTGTCTTGGAAGACAAATAGTCAGCATGCTTTGTAGATGGTAGGATGGAAAGGCTTTTTGTCTCATGCACTTTAGAGATTCTATCAGGAGTTACCAGCCCCTGGAGAGGATATTATGCTTGGTGGAGGATCAGCAAGAAAGAAGACCCTCAATGAGATGGATAAACACAGTGGCTGCTGCAACAGTGGGCTCAAATGTGGCTACAATTGTGAGGCTAGCGCAGGACCAGACAGTGTTTTGTTCTGTTGTACATTGGGTTGGTAGGAGTCAGAATCAACCCTATAGCAGCTAGAAAGAGCAGCAGTTTCACTTTTCTCAAGTGGATCTTTGTGTAGCTGTTGACGTACATGTGGAGAATCTTAAAGAAAACTCCTTAGAATGATCTCAAGTATCACTGTTATTCTCTTTCTTTAGTGGGAAGCATTTGTTGTAATTGTGTGAGTGTAAATACAGTAGTGGTGGCCTAGTGGTAAGAAGCGGCATTGCAATTCCAAAGACACACTGTCCAAATCCATCAGCTGCTCGTGGGTGAAGGATGGGCTATCTCCTCCCATTTGATTAACTGCCTCTGAAAACCCACCAGAAGGTCAGATATGAGTCAATTCCAACTTGACAGTACACAACAACAACAAATACAATGTTAGGGGCTTTCATAGGAATATTTTCTAATCTAGATGACTTCTCAATCAACATATTCCCCCCCCATCACTTTTTAAGTTCAGATACCATGAAAGTTTTCACAGACTTAAACTCCATGATGCCGTGTGAGTGGAGAATCATATCAAATGCTGTGGAAAGGTTCAGAAGTATGAAACTAACTATAAAGAATATAAACAGCTCACATTTGAAAGTGATTTTCAAAGCTTTATTCATTTTACTGTGATTTAAGTGAAAGTTAACAGAGCTAAATTAGTTTTCTGTTCCAACAGCCATATATATGTTGTTTTATCATTTTAATTACACCATCCATCATGTAATTTGGAGCCTTGGAGGCCTTGTGGTAAGAAACTGCACTGCAATCCCAAGGCATGTAGTTCAAATCCACCAGCTGAGAGAAGGATGGACAGGTTTTCTCCTGTGCAATTTACTGCCTCTGAAAACCTGCTGAAGGGTCAGCTGTGGGTACGTTCCAATTTGACAGCATACAACAACAACGATGTAATTAACCTCTCCCCACTTCCACCCTTGATTCTCATTTCCATCCTTCTGTCCCACCCAAGGCTTTATCCTTGAACAACTGCTGTCCTTTGGGCTTCATCTGGTTAATCTAAAGAGTAGGTGCCTTCCTGACAGTACTGTTCCCCTAACAGGTCTGTCTATTGTTTCCATAACAGTTGATCCATGAAGATGAGTTTTGTTCTCATTTAAAAGTGATTTTTAAAAGCTTTTGTCTAACTCAACATTTCCTCGATGCCTCCTAGGAAGAACAGCATGCTGTCTTATACTCAAGAAATGTAAAGAACTGTTGCATTCCTGGTTGTTTTCTTGCAGCTCCTGAGGACCATGTCTGTTCCCAAAGGCCAAGTTCTGGATAAGAACCCGGATGAGGAAGGCCTTGGAAGTGGAGACTGTGGTGACGATGAGGATGAGTGTATCGGAGGCTCCGGTGACGGGATGATGAAAGTGAAGAACCAGCTCCGCTTCCTTGCAGGTACAAACCCTGGTGCTCAGCCATTACCACTCAGTCAAATCCACCCTCAAGCAGTGCTGTCAACTCTTTGAGGCAATGGTGTTTCCACGTAGGCTTTTGGCCCTGGGTAGCTGACAGGCTCACATTATGGGTTTTATTGTCTAGAATCAACTGGCCCAATCCATTGGCTTTGTTTCCCATTGAAGACTTCCTTGGGCCCCCTCGGTTCTAAGAATTGAATGCAATGGTGGAAACAGAGAGAAACCAGTGAGGGGATTGATTTTTGAAGGCAGAACAGTTGATCCTCTCTTTCTTAGGACAACATGGTTAGTCTTTTTTTGTCAAGATCAGTCTAATATAAACCAGTCTGTCATAACTATAAAAATACAGGGGAAGGAGGGAAGCCAACAATAGAAAAATAGTCATTAAAAAGGGCTGCTGTGGTCCCTAAGGCTAAAAAGAACATTCTCTCCGGCTTGTAGGGTGTATCACGGTTTACAAAGTCCTTTTATATATATGGATGGATGTGGTTGCTGTTGTAAGTTGTCTTGGAGTTGGTTTGACGAATGATTTCATGGACAACAGAATGAAATAGAATGAAGCAGGGTGAAACTCAGCTCTGCTCCATCTTTGTGATCGTGCCTACTGCTGCAGGCATTGGGGAGCTAAGTTGCAGACGTCAACTGCCAGGCCTTTCTTCCTAGTTTGTCTTTCAAGCTCCATTGAACCCTCCACCACGGGTGGCCCCACTGGCATTTGAAATCCCAGGGGCATCGCTTCCAGTGGCATGGCAACATGTAAGTGACCTGCTATGACAAACTGACAGGCAGGTTCATGTTCAGATGTCGTTCTTATTCCTGTGTTACAGTTGAGGAAGCTGGGGCTCTAGAGAAGAAATGAGATTTACCTAAATGGGGAAAACTGGAAATCTAACTCAGATCACAATATATCAAGTGCTGTGCTTTCTGGGCACCTTCCCCCTGACACCCTGGCTGTGGCCCCTGGGCCTTATGTGTTCCTGTGTCCCTTGCAGTCCATCCCTTTTCTTCTCTAGCTCTTCTTCCTAATCCTACCCTGCCTGAAACTGAGTATCATCCAGAGGGCTTGCCTTAAGCTTGTCTTTATTTCTCTTCCTCTGAGCAAACACATTTTTTTTTGTTAAAAGATCATTTTATTTTTGTGGTTGGTATTGCAGAAGAATGGGCAGGCTCCTCCCGCACCAATAATTTCCTCTGAAAACCCGCTGGAAGGTTAGCTATGGGTCAATCTTGACCCATAAGCATTAGCAACTACTACTGTGACATTTTTCTTCGAGGATGCTGGGATCTGAATGAACGTGTGGCTTAGTGGCAAGGAGTCGCACTGCCAACCCAAAGGCACACCGTTCAAATCCACCAGGTGGTCTATGGGCAAACTCCTCCTGTGCAATTTACCCTATCTAAAAACCTGCTAGAGGGTCAGTTATGAGTCAATTCGTACCCAACAGTACACAAGAACAGCAATAATTGAGAATAGGCACAGCAGAACATACAGTTTCTACATGCACAGTTCAGTGACAATGATCATGTTCTTTGAGTTGTTCAAATCTTCTTACCCTCCTTTTCTGGGTTGTTCCTCCCCTATGAATGCAAGGTCACTGCCACTTAAAGTTCTTATCTAATCTTCTGAGTTGTCACTACCACTTTTATCACATAGAGAGAGATCTTAAAAAGACCACAATTTTCAAAGCACACATCCTTTTCTAGTAAAGGCTAAACTGTTGTTTCCAGAAGAATTCAGAGGATATTTATGATTTAAAGTTACCTCCCAAGCACTGGTATCATAGGTTTTACCCAGCCTCCATGACTCCAGAAAGACGAGTTCATGAGAAATTGAGATTCTCTTCTGAGTCTTCCCTCCTTTGATAAGGATTCTTCTATAGAGTTTTTTTTTTCATTATAGTTTTTTAGTTTATTTTTAAAAAACTTTTTATTGTGAAGTGGAAATTTCTAGAGAAATTGGCTTTCCATTCATAATTAAAGTGATTTCGATCTCATTACATTGATAATAATTCCCACATTGTAACATCACTCTTCCATTTCTTCCCTATGTTTTTGATCTCCATTTGTCCTTCTTTTCTGTTCCTTCCTATTTGCTGAGCAAATGTTGCCCTTTTCATCTTGTTTACTCAATTGTTCTAAGGAATGTGTTCCTCCCTGATTGTGTTGGCCACCTGATAAACCTATTATTTAGTTTGAAGTTGGATCACAATGGTGGGCTCAGTTCTTGGGCTGAAGGGTGAGTGAGGGCCATAGTCTCGGGGGTTCCACCAGTCTCTATCAGTCCACCATTTTTCTCCCATTCTGTCATTGACCTTCTGTTCTGATCACTTTGAAAGCGGTTGTAGCGGTAGTTGGCTATCTTCTCTAGAATCTTGCATCAAAATTAAAACATAGATCTTGTTCACAAGCCTCTTGTTCAGAATCAACAAGACCTCAGGGAGGGCCTTTGTATTTAAAAGTCGGTTTTTATTATATTTTGGAGGAACATTCTTCTAAGTGACACAGCACTGCTCTATCAATTTGCTATACTGAGGTCACCTGCTGTGATGCTGAACCTTGTGCTACTGGGGTGTCAAATGCTGTAACGGTTACCCATGGTGAACAGTGTTTGGTGGAGATTCCAGTTTAAGACAGGTTTGGAAGCAGGAATAGCATCCACTTCTTATACCACGTGCCTCTGGAAACTCTATGAATTTTCAGAGACGATGATAGTGATAGAAAGGCTTCAGGTCTTTTGTTCATAGGGTCGCTATGAGTTGTGCTCTACTCGACGGCAATCAACAACAACAATACAGTAGTTATTCGTTTCAGTTACTAATATACATATAATATGCTAACATACAGTACTACTATAGAGAAAATTATACAGTTATTACCACCAGCCTTGACTGCTCTCCTGAATTATAATCCCACCTCTCCAGCTGTTTCCTAGTCATTTCCACCTGGCTGTCTGCCACCCTTACTCCAGACTCAATGCACAAATCAGTTGTCCATCCCAACCTGGCTCCACCAAGCCTGCTCAGAACCCTCTACTTTGATAAGAGCAGCTTCTGTCCCACGAATCTCTTGTTCTTGTTACTATCTTTATAACATGACCAGTGTTTATTTCTACATAGCAACCTCTTTTTCCTTGATGCTTAAATCATAACCATCCTGAAATGGCCTGTGTATGATGCAGTAAAACCCCAATTTTTGGAATATAGCATGCCTGTATTTTAATTCTGACTCAGCTTCTTATGAGCTGGTGTGACGCAGGGCAAATTTTTAGCCTCCTCTCTAACATTCCATTTCCTCGTTCATCCAATGGAGAGTATAACCCAACTTCACAGGACTGTTGCAGGAGTCAGTGTAGAGGATGAGGTTACAAAGCACCTGGCCTCATATCTTGCACCTCTTGGTTGCTCTGTATTGTTCATTTCCATCCATTAAATCTTTCACAGCCATCTCAGTTTCTCTCTGTCTTCTGAATTACTAGATTTATTACAGATACTTTCAGGCCACAGTAGGCAATGGCTCCCAAGTTCCCTTTCTAAGGCAAGCACGTTCATTCAGATCCCAGCATCCTCGAAGAAAAATGTCACAGTAGTAGTTGCTAATGCTTATTGAGCACGTACCTTGCTCCAAACACTGCATTAGAACTTGTCCTACTTACACTGTCTCGGCATTTCCACAGCATCCCCGTGAGTGGAGGTTATTATGACTTACATTTTATAGATGAGGAAACCGATTCTGGAAAAGGTAAAATAACACTCTGCTACTGTTAACACAAAGATCACACTTCTCTGGCTGTTCGAATCCACCAACAGCTCCTTGAGAGAAAGCGTTTCCTCCCATGTGATTTACAGCCTCAGAAACCCACTGGAGGGTCAGCTATGAGGCGATTCTGACTTGACAGTAACAACAACAGTGCGATCAAGGAGCACTGGTGGCTCTGCACTGCAATCCCACATGGTTCAAGGCCATTAGCTGCTTCACAGGAGAAGGATGGGTAATCTCCTCCCATACGATTAACTGCCTCTGAAAACCCGCTGGAGAGTCAGCTGTGGGTCAGTCCTGACTCAACACTACACAACAAGAAACAACAGTGATGCCATTGGGCAGTTTCTGGATTCCAAGCCAAGTAGGCAGGTTTCAGGTGCCATGCTGTGAGCCAGCCTTGGTCCGCTTTGTCTGCTCATCAATCTAGTCATAAAGCCCTAACACCTACTTTGTATTTTGCTGTCAGAAAAGGCTAATTGTCATCTTAAGGGGGCCCAGATTAGCCACCAACATGCTCTCTGGTCCCAGCACTGCTTCCTGGGACAAACCATCATTCTTTCCCACTTCTCCTGAGCACCAGTTGCATTTGATTCAACCCCACTTCCCAGGAACTTCATGTGTTGCAGGATCCAGCTGCGTCCCATAGAGGTTTCATGGCTACAGCCTTTCAAATACAGATTGCAGGGTTCTTGAGGCACGTTCAAACCACTGACCTCTCAATTAGTAGTCAAGAGTGTTCTGTATGCACCACTCAGGGACTCTGTTCTCCAGAACACAACTTGCAGGCCTTCTAAGCTGAGTGTCCTAGCATTTTTTTTTCCTAGCTTCTTCCCTATCCATTCCCAAGCCTGCATCCATAATTCCATGATGACTTAAGTTTTCTAAACAGCGTTTGCTGTGAGACCGCGCCAAGGATTTTTTCCAAATCTCACTCGATAACCTTCACTGATATCCCTTTTTCCACATGCATATTTTGTTATCTTCTGGAAGAATTCTGGTCCATTAGTTAGGCTTGGTTATTCCTAAATGCTTCAGAAATTCTAAAAGCACTGTACAAATAGAAGTGTTTTGTTGTGTTTTGGGGTGGTTTTTTTTTTTGCAAAGAAAATGATGACGTACTCCCAGTACTTGCCTGGTGTGTTCAGTGATCCTACCAGCTTTGGAGTCCCTTGAGTCCCCTTTGAGACATTTCTCATGGAAGGGAGACTCGCTGCAATTGGC